AAACTAGGTTTACAATAAATGTCCTAATTATATACACAATATAATAATAATCTAATACTAATTACCAAAGTAAACATTATTATAACTTTATAAGTTTATAACTGCAAATCTCAATATTATAGAAATTAGAAATCTTATTACTTCAGTAGAAGATACTCTTACAATAGAGAAGTTGAGAGGAAAATGATGGGCAACATAAAGAAAAGAGGGTGGAGTGATATTTTAATATTTGGACTTGTTGCATTAAGAAGGGAGAAAGTGTGCATGGAACCCCACGTGCGTCCTTGTAGCACAAATAATTTAACGCCTTTGTGCTCATATCTAGTTTTCACATTTCAGATATACATATACAGATTGTTATTTTAATTTAGATAAATGAATAAGTTGTTAAAATTCACGTACTCACGTATATTACATGTGTATATAATGAATTGAAATATAATGATAGAAACTTAAATTTGATGTTTTGGTTTATCTTTAGCCATGGACTCATGGTGATGAGCTAAAATGAGGTTATTATATATGAATAGTAACTTCTTAACTATTAGGTATGTAATTTATTCCTCTAATAATTAATAGAATTCATTTGTAATATTCATTTTCCCTTGAAAAAGATGTAATCAACTTACATTTTTGAGGGAAAATGTAATCAACTTACATGTAACATGTTTGCATGATATTTTGCATCTAGTATTAAGTTGGTAAATTAAATTGATGTAGGATTAATTAAAAAGATATACTTGGTATATACTTAGTAGAAAATCACTATCGTTCAATTATTATTTCATTAAGTGTTAGGCAACAAACATATAAACTATCCGATGATCTATTGTAAACTGGTTCTATTTTATCATTATAACTAATTTTTCTATACAAGTTGCCTTGACAAGTAAGTATATGCTCATAGAAATATAATTTCCGCACACGTGCGTATAATATTCTTGAGTGAAGGTAATCATTAAGAAATTAAACCTCACGTGCAAGTCCTAAACATGAATGGTTGTCTCTTCTGCAAGTTGCTTGCTTCATTTTTTAAGTCCCAAAACCTTGGATTCCTTCCTTCTAATTCTTAATTAATTAATTAATTAATTGTACTTTAATTAAAAGCTTAGAAAGGTATAAAGTCCTTCAGTTTAATGACAACCCTAGGACTCCTGTAAAATGTGTAACCTGAAAATTCAGATGTCCTTACTCTATAAAGTAATGTGGCATTTTTAGGATCTTACTCTTAGATTAAGACGGATGTACAATGCATATTATTGTAGTAGAATCTTAAGATTAAGATGGATGTACAATAAATATTATTGACGGTAATAGAGTACATAAACCAACCCTAAACTAGTCACCTTGATGATATGTATATTTTACTTATAAAGTTGTGGTCTTTACAAAAAAACAACCCTTAAAAATTACACATTCATAAATCATAATGCACGAAAATAATTTCATTTCTAATTATCTCATAAATCATGATTCTTAAGATAAATTTTTAAGGGTAATTTAGTAAATTTAGTTTATAAAATTAAAAGCTGCTTAATCTTGCCAAACTTAGTAAAGCTCAAATCACAGTGAGGGACCCATAATGAGTACATGACATGGCCTACAGCCAATGCATCACTGGCTTTGTCCACTCTTAATTAATTAAAAATTACTAATCCACATAGTTTATTTTACTAAGTGTATTACAGTATTATAATGATAAGATTAACAAGCACTAGCTAAACAAAGCCTAAGAAGCCAAAGAGTGTGAGTAAGTGGTGTACCATGTAATGTATAGTCTGGTTGTCTTGTGTTGTGTATAAATTAGTAAAATAATTAAGGATTTCAACATATTGTTATATTAATTAAGATGGACTTTAGATTAATGAGCTACTTTCTATGTTTTCAATATCATTGGAAATGGAAGCTAACCCCACGAGTGCAGATCACTTATTCAACAATTTTATGCCACACAAAAAGGTTGCATGTATTGCCACCGGATAACTTAATCACAACCGTTTAATTGACACACTTGTCAATAAACACGTTTGATCATCAAACATAATACAAAGTATGTAACTACATATATCTAACAACATTTTTTATCACAACAAATGAGGTCAAAATTTTGATTCACTATGAAAGCATCGATCTATCACACCTCCTTATAATAATCAACCAAAATTATTACCTTGTGCAAAATTAAAAATTATTTGGCAATTGAATCAAAGGACAACACATTGATGTTAATGCTATCTTCCTAAGAAAAAATAGACAAAAAGTGAACTTATAAATTAGTGCATGCAGCTCAAAAGTGAAAAAAGACTTCAAGTAACAACCTAATATTGCTAAATTGATGTTTTTCTACGAATAAAGATCCCCAAAAACAATGCCTTCATCTATTATATGCTTCTTTTTTTTCCCATAAATGTCTTTATAATTGCTGCATTTCAAAGTTCTTACCATTACAATACATCTTCCATTATACATCTATTTTATTACAATCATATATTTCTATTTATAGAAGTTGGCTAAAAACTTTTTCAGCTTTGATGTTTTGATTCCATTATTTTGATTGGTTCTTTTTTTTTGTTTTATTAATGAACGTAACATATATTCTAATAAGTGGTTTCTTATTATAGGTATTCAAGCTAAATTTACTTCATGATGATATAGAGTTGTAGATAGAGTAGCTAAGCCAACATTATACCTCCTGATAATTAATGATTGATTTATTAGCATTAATTTACAAATAATTATAAAATAATACTCCGTAATAACTTTCTCGATCTACCTAAAAAAATATTTAGATCACGTTGATTATTGATTTAGTTATTTAATGAATCTAATACTCAATAATAAGAAGTTGATAAATTAATAATATACCAATATGAGGAGTATGGAGTAAAAAATTTTGATAAGAAAAAGCTAGTAATATATTTGAATAGTGTAAGATAAAAAATTTTCCTTCAAAAAAAAAAAAAAAAAAAAAAAAAAAGATAATGTTTTGCATTTATTTTGAAACTGATGGATTATGTTTTATTTACAATTTACATTCTCTTTTCCAATTTTAGAAATACATTATAAAAGCTTCATTGTAAATACTTGTTTTACATGCAACATAAGAATTTCTAAAATTGGAAAAGAAAATGTCATTTACAATGAAGTTTTGTAAAATAAGCATTTAATTAAGATTAGAAACTAATTGTGCGGTTCTTAATCATGAAGTGCCTATATTTTCTTTAATGGAAGTGACAATCATAATTCAGACTTTGTTGCATTTTAATAATTTTTTTTAAAGAAAAAAAGGAGATTAAAAGTAACCATTAAGTTAAGGAGTAGCCCTTAGCGTTATAAACAGATTAACTCTCTCTTTATCAACCAATGTGAGAAAGTACTTGTGTGGTTATAGTTGGGAGGTTTATTCTTTATTACGGAGTAGTATATGCCCAGCCTTGTGCATTAACTAGCGTGAAAGTCAAAATATTACATGTTTTAACTATGGGTCTGCTCACTTCAGCTTAATTTCAGTTCAATTCAGTTCAGCTTCAGTCAGTTCAGTTCAGTTCCTAATTTCCTTCTCTCATAAAATATTCATTTCAACTCAGTTCAGTTCAGTTCAGTTCAGCTTCAATCAGTTCTGTAAATAAATGTGAATAGGCCCTAAGACACAAAAGAAGTAGTACTTGTAAATGTTATTGGATTGAATAATTCTATGATTGAACTCAACTAGTACAACGAATATTCAGAATCACAGCTAGCAATAATATTGAGAATCAATATTTATATAAGTTCTATTGTTCTTGCTAAATAGGCCAGGACCCAAATCAATTGCTCTTATCTAGCTCCTTTAGGGTATCTCAGCTCAAGTACCATGTCAAGTAAATACTTAGAAACATATTTTCATTGAAAATATATAAATGAGGTAAATTATCAATATATACCCAATTTTGGTTGTACATTCTTTCTTATTACTACAAAACTGCTTATAGTATGTCATAGATTCCCACCTCAAGAGTATAAATGTAAAGCAAGGGACAAAGAAATTAAGCTATAATTTCCATTTAAACACATGCACTAATTACAATTTTAAATGCTTAACGTTATTGTCTCTTTATGCATCAATGCCGTGTAGAAATACCATTCAACATTGATGTTCTTGTCGCTTAAGAAAGTAATTAAGCTCTCTATTATAAATACAAATTAAATTAAAAAAATAAAATTCTAACCATTTGCAAATTACTACGTACAAAGGGTATATTGGCTTTGTTTTCAAAAAAAAAAAAAGTGAAATGGAGTTAAAACCGATAAGCTACTAAAATTGGAAAATGTGTTAGCTAAAGCTAATTAGGTGTTAAACTGACGAGGTAACTTTTGAATGAGTTGTTTGGTAGAATTAGTTGTTGAAGGTGTCGAAAGGGTGAAAGGTCTTGAATACGAAAAATTGTTTTTGATTAATAAAAACGGAGGTAATGATATACAAAATGAAAATTTTTAGATTTTCAAATTGATATGACACTCTATGTAACATTGTTGTTTAATTCCATTTCAATAATTTAGTACCTTAAAAACATTGTTTAAAGAGCTTGGAAGGCCAACAACTATATATAATTATAGTTATTTTAAAATATAAGCACCTTATCATCATTTAAGATATCTAAGGATTGTTAAACAATAGTCATAATAATGAGTATACATACAACAATGACATGTTTAATCATCTCAAATCACATAAAAAGTTAACTTCACAAAGTATTAACTTTTACGTGAATTGGGATGACTAAACGTGTATATATTACACCTGTTGTAAACCATTTGCTACCTTTTTTTGTACCCCCACTTTTCTTTGACAAGTTTAATTGAACTTCTTGACGTCGACTCTAATCTTGTAGTCTATAAATCATCTCTCTTAAGCTTTATATAATTCACCTTCTTTTCCCTTTTCTTCTACGTCGTTCTCTCTTCGCCATTTTAAATTTTGCTCGAAAAATTCGAGAAATTTTGCTCGGAAAAAAGAAAAAATGTATCAAATTGACGACGATGATGATAGAAGATTTCATCTCCCACCTCCTCTTTCAAACCAAGCCAACAATGAGATTAATTCATCCCAATTTGGCATTCTTTCATCAAATCATAATAAATTCTTACCAAATCTCCACTCTTATCTCCCACTTCATGACCTAACAACATTAAACCCTACTCTCAATATTGATTCACCATCATCTAGCCCTAATAATAGCATTATCAACACTTTATGTTCAGATGATCAAACAACCAAGGAACAAAGTGAGGAACAAGAAATTAGAAGGCTAAAGAGGATGATATCGAATAGGGAATCAGCAAGAAGGTCTAGGCTTCGCAAACGCAAGCAACTCGAAAACCTTCAATCACAAGTTTTACAACTTCTTGCAGCAAATCACCAACTAGCCGAAAAACTCAACCTTGTCATGGAGTCTAACTATGAACTTCTCCAAGAGAATGCTCGGCTTAGAGACGAATCCATCTGCCTTCGAAACGAGTTGCTCATGTCAATGAAATGCGACCTAGGGCTCGAAGATGGTGAATGTACAAGAGCTAATAATAACAATAATAATCAAACAGCCACTAGTCCAAATAGCATCACTAGTTCCATGGATTTTCTACGTTAAAATTGTGAGTTATAATAATATTTGTGTTATTTTAAGTATGATGAATTAAGAAAACTTTTGTATATTTTATGTAATTGGAATTTCATACCTATAATGATAATAATGTATGTATGTAGTAGCATATGCTATGATCTTTTAATAGTCATATGTAAGGTTGTAAAGTTAATATCTATGTTTTTGTTGCATTTGAGTTTCTCTATATATGTATATATGATGTTACGATAAACATGTCCCATAATTATATTGTTTCTTATGGTATATGACCATTTTAAGAAAGCTACAAATATTATGAATTATGATAGCATGCATGAAATCCAACAATGTTTTTAATCTTTGATTTTGGGGAAAAAAATGACTAGTGTTTTCCTAGCTAGTTTAAGTAGAGTAAGAAATTAATTAGCAGTTTTTTCCACTGTTTTTTTTAATAATTTTAGTAGTTAGACTTGTTGATGTATAGCTTTGATCAGTTTTATATTTGGAAAAAAAAAAATCACAAGTTGATATTTTGAAAATTATTTTGATTGATTATAATTTATTCAGTTTAGGTTGGATCATGTCTTGGCATACTAATAATTACGGGGAAATTTTTTAGGAATTGTGTTATTTCATTTGTTATGCTAGGTAGAAATTTTGCATTCAATTGATTATGATTCTGGACATAATTGGATTATCAATATTGGGTCTAGATCGAGTACTTTGATTTAGGTGGTCTTGTATTGGTTACTTTTACAATTAATAGTTATACTTCGTCTATGTATTTACTATAACATTTACTCGCATGGGAACATGATGAGCCACCTCTCGTAAGATATAGGTGTTGACACCGAAATTTTGTTAATTATTAGGTGTCAGATATATGTAAATAAGGAGATAAATATAAAAAATTATAAGATATTTATCTTCTACTCTACGACTCTCTATATAATGAGGGTCGAATCTAGGGTTTAATTAGGCTTAGATGGAATAAGTCACAAAGACCCCATCTCCTCCCTACTACCAAACATTGTAGGCATATAGTATGGATTAAGCCGACAAGGCCCCGTACTATAAACAAATATCAAACCCTAACCCTTTGGAGAGAGGAATCAAGAGATCTACGAGAGTTGTAATCCACAAACTATCAATGAAAATCATTGTTCCCGTATATTTTCTACCTCTTTAATTGTATATTGCAGGTTTGAATTTTTATGGTTTACAATAGGTATTCATGTTAAATTGTCACATAGTCTTAACCTATCCTAAGAAAGGATAAAACATAACCCAACTGAAAAACAACTTTGGGTCGTATCTAGGTGATGACAAATTCAATTTGAATCTTGTCAATTCAAGTCAAGCCTATTGTCAATTAATTTACTAAGAAAATATTTCAATTCTAGTATCTTTGCACTAATGTGTGTCGATTCAGGTCAATTTCAAGTTATTCAATTTTGGGCATCTTTGAGGTTTAGGTTGAATCAATTCCTATTTCACATTTTCCCCATTGCTTAACCTTCGAGATTATTGGAAAATGTTTTGAAACATGTTTATTCTTAAAATCCTTAAATCAATTAATTGGTATTTTCGAATCGTCGTACACAGTCACACAAGTACATGACTACCATAGCAGCTAGAAGTAGACACAAAGTAGAGCAACAACTTCAGTGATCCTCATTAGCTGATAGAACTGGCTTCAGAGCACTGTAGTGCTTTAGTCTGGCTTATTTGCAACTCATCTCGAACTACATATAACTATATAAGTGATATAACGTCACTGGAAATCGTTCTTTTTCTTGATTTCACTGAACATACTAGTAATCCCTCCTCTCAAGAAGTTGTGCTCAGCAGAAGATCCCAACCCAACTGACCAAAGAATGAGCAAAGCGAAAAGTTATAGGCCTTTGAAGGGACTGCATATAGTTAAAGGTTTAAATCATCAATAATACAAGGGAACATATATTCGACTCTTTTCATTCTCTTCTTCAAGGAAGAAACTCTTCCGGTTCTAAAACACATAGCACCATCGTTTAACTACTTCACGGTATGAACAATAAACCTCAAACACTACTAGGAGTTGTGAAGGTTTAGCTTAGATACAGGTACAAAATTACTCTGCTTCAAGCAGAGATTCAGAAAAAAAAATATCTAAGCAATTAAACAAATTCTAAGTAAAAATACATATACACACGTTCAAACTTCCTGCAAAGATGCAGAGTAAATGTTCATAGACAAGGTTCCCTGCTGCTCCCATTGAAAATAATTTAATCACAAGCAAACTTACCGAGCTGACTATACAAAACACCTCTGCTATATGGACTGAACTTGGAACTAGAAGAGTTTTACTTGTGCTGTTGTACCACTTTTCATCATAGCACAAAATTCATCGTAGTTGATTTTTCCATCCTATAATATGTCAACAAAATCAGTCAGACGCAGAAAATGATACTCTATCCTAAATTGTGATGGTCTGATTAGCCACTGTGCCAATGAATTCTTAATTTGTGTTTACTAGATACTTACATTATCAGTATCAACCTCCGAGAGAATTTCTTTGATGCTGCTTTCATCAGCAATTCCGTATTCCATCATCTCACTTTCCAGTTCATCCATTGTAATGAATCTGAAATATAAGAAAGGTAATTTCAGTAACTTAAACTCTGTTCATCCTCACATTATCATTGCTTTGGAGAGTCTACAGTGTTACACAAATACTAAGGAAGTGGGCTGATAGCATTTATATTTATTAAAGTAAAAAAAACTGCCCTCATGTTAATAATGACTCATAAACATACGCCACCATTTTAGAGCAATATTTTGAAGAAAATTAAAAGTTCATAAGATAAGACTATTTGTTAGATACAAGGAAATTCAATTTATAAAATTGAACAAAAAACATCCTTGAAGAACTTGTTTCATGAATATCTTCAAAGAAAATCAAGAGAGCAGATGAGCTAAAAAAATCCAACAACGAACAAGCTGCATAAAAAAACCTTAACTAACATAATTAGAAGCAAGCCTCAACAGAAAATCATGTTGCAACATGTCCAACTTAAAACGGATGAGATATTATTTCAAGATAAGACACCACAGAAAGAATGAATTGGAAAACCCTCGAGCAGAAAATGATATGGGAATTTCATGTGCATATATTTAAGCAACAAGCAAAAACTCAGAAATGCTGTGGAGGGGAAAGGAGAAGGGGGGAGGCAGAGGCAGTTGTTATGGACTCACCCACTATTATCCTTATCAAAGTATCGAAATGCTTTTAATAAATTTTCATCTGTTTCCAGTCTGTGTCTATTCATTGTTGCAGTGATAAATTCCGTATAGTCAATTGTCCCATTTCCATCAACATCAGCCTGCAAAGGATTCAAATATATGATAACCAGCAACAAAGTAACGTATTAAAAGATACCATGATAGGATAAAAATCACATGTAGCTGAATGATAGTCTTCAACTTACAGCTTCCATAAGTTGCTTCACTTCAGTTTCAGTAAGTTTTGACCCAAGTTCAGCTAATCCTTTTTTAAGTTCATCATAGGTTATTGAACCGCTGTTGTCTGTGTCCATGTTATCAAACATAGCTTTAAAACCTTTAATATCCTCTTCGGACATATTTTCTGCGATAACCTGCAGTAAATGGGCCAGGGTCATCAAAATCCAAAATACAAATCTGTTACTATCACAAGCTGATTGTCAAATTAAAAAGGTATAAATGAAATGAAATATGTAATCAAACTTTCAAAAACAGCAAGAATCTATTTACTGTAGCACCAAAAGTCATTTTAGAATGGTTGTCCAGAAGAATGTAAAGGAAGCTAAGGAATAAAAATTGTGTATAACTATTTCAAAGGTCAAACTAAAATGTAAAAGGGTGTGGAGCAACTCAGTACTGGGCTACGCATAAGTGAGTAATCAAGGGAACGTTAATAGAGGTAAAGACATGTACCAATGCAGGCATAATGCTATTTTCTCCAAACGAAATCCAATAAATACAACATATCTAGCAATAGACCTTTGGAGCTCTCCCATCCTTGTGACTTACAGGTCTTGTAAATAGAAGTGTTGGGATATTTACTTTAAAAAATCCTTGACAATGTATTGATCAAACTAAAATTGACCACAAAAAATTAGAATTTTAAATAAATGGAGGGGGAACTACTTAATTAGCTAGCTCCAGGCACGAGAAATTTACATCTAGACAATTCAAAATAGGAAAAACCAAGCGAATTGTTGGTAAAATGGCAGAGTGAAGGATATGCATCATGTTTAGTTCCAGTAACTGGCCAAGTTTGAAAACTAGTTTACACGTATAAGGCTAAATATTTAAAATTTTCAGAAAATAAAGAATTTTCCAATGTCCAATCTACTTGGTTAGAGAATTCTCAGCCTAAATCAGCTTATTTCTTCCCAAATTACTAGCCAATACTACTACTAAGTTAAGTTGGGTGTAGGGAACATTCCTTTGTAGTCTTCAATATCAAAATGTGATTTTTCTCCCAGAAAATGAAATTTTTCGATAGAAGTCAAACTCTGTCAAACAATATTACCATACTGTACCTAATTTTTTCAAGAAAAAATCCTCTATTCTGCCTGAAAGAATGTGCATATACTATAAACAAGAAGAAGAAAAAAAATAAGGAAAATTAAAAAGTTATGCATAGAAGCACACCTTTAAAGCTAGCTTCTTTAGCTTATTCATTGCCCTAAATTGTTTCATTCTAGAGAGCACTGCACTATCTATTGGCTTGTCTGATGCATCTCCGCCTTCTCTCATCCAAGGATGCTCTGTGTGGTTCAATGAAATGAAACTTGTTAGCTTTTTCATAGAAACTTATAACATGGCTATACTGTTAGTAGTAAAATCAGGAGAAAAAAAAAAAGGCACGTAGAGCAAATGCCCTTTCAACTAGTGTTTAACCAGCATAATATAAAGTCAATATGTAATAGAATAGTTGTAGCATCACATTTTAACATCTTAATATGGCAATGACAAGATACATCGTGTGAATGTGGTAGCAAATACATTGAGTTACTAGACTTAAAAGTTGAAAGGTTAGCATATTGAAGAGTGGAGACACAGGACATATTCAAGAATGGGAGTCTACCAAAAGGAAGCAAGAAAGCACATTACCAAGCACTTCTGCAGAAGTGATTCGCTTCTTTGGATCTGGATTCAACATCTTCCTGACCAGGTCCTTTGCACTTTTTGATATAGATGGCCATGGGTCGCTTTCAAAGTCAATTTCTCCTTTCAGTATGGCATCAAATATGCCTTTCTCATTTTCTGCAGAAGAAAATCAAGTGAACTGTCGGACTTTACAGCTCAAATTGAATATAATAAGAAGAGTAAGAGAGAGATTATCGTACCAGCCCAAAAAGGTGGGACACCACTGAGTAGAATATACAGCATAATTCCTGCACTCCAAATATCTATTTCCTTCCCATACCTTCTCCGTAGTACTTCAGGAGCAACATAGTAAGCACTGCCCACCACATCACGATACACCTTGCCTACAAATTTGGTTTCATATCAAAATTTAGTTTTCAGCTCTTCCAAATGATTAGTAGTTCACTAATAAGACAGCCAAAAGGTAAAAGGCAACAATAGAAAAGTTAGATTCATATTGAAATTTGGTTTTTAGATCTTTCATAAGATTGACAGCCAAAGAGGTAAGAATCATAACATAATTAAAAACAATAACATACTTTATATAACAGCTTAACAGAAAAGTCTTGCAGCTGAGACCACAGATAATTCCATCATAGAGTCACTAGAAAAGTACCCCCACTTTTGCTTAGTGCACTAAGACCTCGACAGTTTTTTCAATTGACACATCCAAACTTTCAAGCCAAGAGTAATAATCACACAACGTGGTATTGGCCAATACTTACAAGACAAAAGAAGAATTCCACAAAAAGACGACAAATCAACCAGAATATCCCCATAGGAATTACAACACTTCATCTTGATATAAAGGAATACTTGCTGATACTGTAATTTTAGCTTAGCCTTCATATCTTTCCGCTTATGTCTAATCGATTACAATTAGTAACTCGACGTGTGTAATCCAGAATTCAATAGGTAAAGCAGAATCAAATCCATGATCACCTTAAATAAACTACGTTTCTTCTATTACTATTGAGTACGTCGAAATTGAAGTCCTAACTCAATACAGATAAGACACAAATGTGATAGCCCTTAAAATCATTATGCCTCTTCTACAGGGCACAGTTGCACTAGAAGCCAAATGTGACACCTCTAACTACTATAACTATCTTCTGAAGCCAAGCAAGCCTTGTCGATTTTTATACACTACCAACATAATTATTACTAAGAATTTCATAAGCATTTTCGAAAAAATAACAAAACAGTCAACAGACCAAAAGACATCAATACAAAAAAACATGATGATGAAATAGATAACATAGTGTCTCCTTTCCATTACCTTTGCTTTAACTTCTTTTAGGTGGGAAAGGAATTCAAGGTGTATACACATTCAAAAAAAGCAGCAATACAGAACAAAGAATAGTATGTAAATGCCAATGTATAAACAAACACAATGTGCACACGAATTTAGTTAAAGCAATGATTACAAAGAGTATAAGAAATCAACCTTCTTCTATAAATACCGACAACCCGAAATCAGTAGCCTTGAGCATAGCTCCTTCATCCTTACTAGACAGCAAGAAATTCTCCGGCTTAAGATCACGGTGCAACACCCCCATGAAGTTACAAATCTGAACAACCTTAACAATCTGCCTACAAACCGCGGCGGCGGCTCGTTCTGAGTAATGCCCCTGAGCAATAATCCTATCAAACAACTCCCCTCCAGCACAAAGCTCCATCACCACATGTACAGATTGTCTATCTTCATAAACCCCTTTAAATTCCACAATATTAGGCTGCCCTGATAAATGCTGCAATATCTGAATTTCCCTCTTAATATCCTCTTTATCAGCCTTAGTAACTAATTTCCTCTTCAAAATTGATTTACAAGCATAAGTTTGTCCAGTTGAATTCTCAGTACACAAATAAGTAATACCAAATTGACCTCTACCCAATTCTTTCCCAAGTTTATAGTGTGACCTAATATCTTCAAAAGGCTTTCCCAAAATAGTATCTGAAGGTGGGCCAGCAATTGCAATCCTAGGTTTTTGGGGTTGATGATTACTATTATTATTAATATACCTTTGTTCTTGTTGAATGATTTGGGAATTGGGTTTTTGTTGTTGAACAACAATCTGCTGCCTCTGTTGCTGATGTTGCTGGGGTTGTTGCTGATAATTTCTAACGTGTTGCTGAGAATTTTCTGGGTTGCTTGAACTGTTGCTGGTTCTTTTCTCTGATCTAACAACATTCATTTTGGTTTCTGAAACCTTGCTTCTACTTGCACAACAACCCATTATTATTCAAGATTCTGCAAAAAACAACAGATCAAGAAATAATTATTACAATACTGATTATGATGATGATTTTGCAATTGATTGACTTGGGGTTTTTTTGAATTTTTTTTTTCCAAGTAAATTTCAGTTCAAATTAACTGAAAGTGGGATGAAAAAAAGAAGAATGAAATCTGGGTAATTGAAACCCAGAAAATATGAGATTTTTGATGATTTGATCATTCAAAAACTTCAAAAAAAAAAATCAGAAAAATTAAAACTTTTGAGATGGGAGTTGAAAAGAACGAACGTTTTTTTTTTGTTTTATGGAAGAGTTGTTGACTCACCAGCTGAATTACAACAGTCGTCACTGCTGTTCTTGTCCTCTCACATAAAAAAGAAATTTAAGTTTTTTAAAACCGCAATTTTTGGTAAGAGTATTCAAAAACGTGTTCAAGGAAAATACAAAATCGGACTAGCCGTCACAAAATTGACATGAGCTTCTAATATCCAATCGATTTACTCTCCTAATATCCGAGTACTTTACTAGTAACATATAACATATAAATTTTAAGTTTAACTCAAAATGATATAAAGTTGATAGGACGAGAGGATAGAGCTGATTAAAATCATTATTATTTAAATTCAAAATTAGATCAGAGTTCGACCATCGACATAGAACCCTAGGCCCATAGTGAGATCTAGTAGCCACATGAAATTGTGATCATTAACAATTCATACTTTGCTTGATTAAAAGTGAAGTTCGGCTTGATTTTTCTGTTGACAAATCGAGTTCGAGGTTAAATATGTTATGCAGTATTATGATTTGAGTATTAATTAAATGAACCTCCAAACTCAATTTAATCTAAAGACTTGAAATTAAAGAAAATCGTATATTTCTCCCACACAAGAAATATCGTGTATCATGATCATTACCATGATTTGTTCAACTTGAGAGTGAGGAATAGTTCAAGTGGTCAGAAATTTCCTCCCAATTTCAGAAGATCTTGGGACCGATTCTCACCGCTGCGTGCCCTTTGTGGCTCTTAAAAAAAAAAGATAAGCAAAAGAATACTATTAGGAGACCCTTCTCTTGAGGGATACACCTAATTTAGTAATTTATCGTTATAAAGGACCGAGAGGAGTTACATACTATTACAAATATTAATTTACAAGATGTTCTACATTTGTTATCCAATATGCTGCTTTGTTTTGGTTTTAAAAAAAAATGCTGCTTTATTTGTTTTTTTGTAGACCTGGTGTATTTTCCATTTCAATGAGTAACGTTTAACGAAATTTACGACGATACCATCAATATATAATCGTCTTCTATTATAATTCTGGTATACATATATACCTACAAATCTAGGATATAAATAGATAAAATATATGTAGTATAATGCAAATAATAAATATTTCAATGTACTTTCATTCATGCATTAATTCAAAGTTCAGCTTAAAAAAAAGTTGAAAGAAAGTGACAAGGTCACAAAAACACGGATTGAAGGAGTGTGGCCGGTAGAATATACGAATTCGGACCGCACAATGGTAGACTTTGTACAAGAATATGTTTGCAATTCCATCAATTTTATCCCAAAAGACAAAACTAATATAAGCATCGATCATTCTTTTTACAAATAGAAATTGAAAATTTCTGCACCATATAATTCTGAAATCTCAAACCTCTTGTGCAATTAGTCGACTACTCAACTAGAATAGTCAAAAGTTTTGCTTATATTAGTCTATACATTTTTTTTAAAAAAAAAATAGCTTTTAAACTCGTGGATACATGCACATAATAAAACATAAAACACAATATTAATTAGTACGAAGTATATTATATCAAACTCAATACATTCAACCTAGCCAAAACTAACCTATATATTGTTCAAGTAGATATAGAGCCCAATTTACTCATACATATCTAGATATTCTAATTATGCATGTTTATATGGTCCTTGTTTCTATGTAGCAAACATATAGAATAAGATCAATATAATTGTATTTTACCAGCATGCGTAAATTAATTCAAATCTCAATTTCCTAATTAACTAAAAGATCGATTCTAACTAACTAATAATTAGAGTTAAACCTCGTCTCATTAAATCACTAACTCTAATACCATGTGAATATGTCAAATAATCGATTCAATCAAATATATAAGTGGGTGGTTAAAGCCCTAAAAAATTGGTTTCTATAATTGTACTACTATCATTTTAGCTCGTTTTGGTTAATAAGAGGATAAACCTCTCATTCATGTAAAGTAGATCGATGTTAGCAGCTACTATCATTTTAGCTTGTTTTGGTTAATAGGTGAATAGCACGGATTATATGTAGTTCGTTAAGGAGAACATCCCTTGTTAGTTGTTAGTTTGTTACTATCAACTCTCCGATTGCATCTTCGATCTGCATACCCAATTGTTCCTATAACTACCTGCAATTGAGCTACTATTATTTTGTGGTACATGAAAATGAAACCTTGCTAAGCCAAAGTCCCCAACATGAGCAACCATGTCATCGTTAAGGAGAATATGCTAGCTGCTTGGTTTTATATCGGAATGAATGATCAGATCACAATACTTGAATTGAGCAGGTGAGTGAGGCCCTTGGTAAATTCTGTAATGTCCTTTGGAGTTCCACCTTATCTACAATTGGAAAATGTGGATAAAGGCCCTCGAATTGAGATATGAGCAATTCCTCCAAAACTAATGCATGTTTCAGCAGAAACTGGATCAAACCAATTTCTCGTTCATTCCCATAGCAATTCTTAATCACGATTCTTCTGAGATGAAACTTGCAGCACGGAGGAACGATTGCTAGACCTCTCTTGCAAAACTGTTGTTCCAAATGCACCATCTGCTTTGCAGCATATTCTATAAGTAACTGCAAAGTACGTGACAGTAATAATAATATTGTTACACCATTGCCTAAGTACATAAGATCACATAAGAGTAGGAACTAATAGATCAGAGTAAAAAGCACAGAATCACCTAAGTACCTGTGGAAAAACAAGCGTTTCTAAGACGGGGGAACAGATAAGAAATGCTTCCAGCACCCTTTCCCAACAGTTGTATCCTCTATTACCCAGCTCTAAATATTTCAGATTGCGAAACATGGGCAGTTGATCCTTCAACCCATCAACGTTGAAAGGCAACAGCCAAATATTTTATATTAACAAGCTAATTAAGCAGTCAATTAGTTTATTTACCAATAGAATAAGAAATTGACACCAACCAACCTTTAAGCATGACCCGAGCAATTTCAAATTGTCAACATTGGTCAAGCACCTCATGATGCCTAGTATTTGTTGACGGCAATCCTGATATGAATGTGCACTCCTTATCAAGTCACCAATATTAATGCTTGCTTGAATCAAACGATCCATGTTTGTAATAGATTGCTGTACTGCTAAATTAGAATTGTAATGAAGATACTCCAAATTAGGAGTATCAAGACACAAAAAGTCAGTGTTATCACACTCAACAGTATATATTTTTAACAAAAAAATCCGAAGAGAAGGTGAAGAGATAATAATAGATTGGACATGGTCCAGCAATGCTTCCACCATGAGGTCTTCAAGTAAGGGGCAAGAAGAAACCAGGCTTGACACAAAGCTACCATCCCCATATATATGAGACACGCGGAGGTGGAGCAGTTTCAATAGTGGTAGATGAAAAGTGGTGGAAACTCGATCAACAGGGAGATTGACATCAAGCTTCAACACCTCCAATGTTTGACAAGTGAATATCTCTGGGGGCAACGGATGACCATCATCTGGTTCTCTCACGTGAATGCAAAGGTCGAGCTCCTTAAGGCCACAACATGTTAAGGGGAGAGAGATCCACGAACAAATGAGCACGGGTTTTACATCAGGTAAACAATGCTTTATACACCTATAAAAATATCTTCTGATCATGTCTGAACCCACTCCAAGCCTAAACCTGGTGAGATATTGAGATCGGTGTGCTTGGAGAACATTATTGACAAAGGTCACAAAAGAGGGGAACTTGTGAATTTCATTGGGAAAATGCACACAATGAGATATAGGTGAATCGTCTATGTCTAAGGCGGTGATCAAACACAAGACGCGCATCAGTTTCTTAGACAAGACACAAGTAGCAGCAACATCCTTAGTCGGAAGCAAAGACATTATCCGAATCAACACTTCATCAGGTATATTGCTCAACCTATCAACTACTCGTAGTAGCCTTTTACTATCAGTATTGTCATGTAAGATACTAGTAGTACACGGCATATCCGAATCCGAATTTATACTAGGGTTTATTGTACTGAATTCCAGAAATGTTCAACTCAATTCCTGAAAACAACAAAAGATAGTATCTTTTATCAAGCTTTATACAACGATCTTGCTAACGAGCGTCCCGGGGTGTTAGATAAGGATAAATTATATTGGTTGAAAACTTGAAATGGTATTAAGTTAAGAATTCATGACAAAATCACGCGTCATTCGGTGTAATTAATGTTAATTTTACTCTAATATTTACACTTTAATTCTCTTATTTAACTCCCCGGGGGCGCTCATTAGCTTTTGTCTTCTAATTATTAATTAATAAATAACACAACAAGACCATCAATTTCTGGGCACAACACGAATTTGAATTGAAATTGGTCATGGAAATTGAATTCATATAACAGCCAAGCCAAGCCAGCAACATGAATGAAATCGATTATTAATCTAATAACACCAACATCCTCCGATTGATTGATTCATAATAATTCTAATGATTAATTAATTCATTATGCAATTAATATAAATATATATATATGTATATATAACAACATAACCATGAATTTGAATATGAATTTCAAGGACAAAAGATTGAATTTTTTTATAATAATAATAGGCAACCAAAACAAAATCAAACCAATTGATCTAAATTAGAACGATATTACTAACATACTAGTTTGAAATTGAACTCAGAAAAATAAAATAATACAAACATTCAGTACATACATACCTTTGAAATTTTGGGTGAAGAAATTATATTCAGCATCATGTGCTTTTGGAATGTGATGCAATTAACGTGGTTGATGTGGAGCAGTAAAGGTGATCAAATGAGCCAGGCTTGTATACTTGTATAAAGTGTCCTACCCAAACCCGTTTAAAAAGTGCGGGCTGAGTCTAGGTGATTCCTAATGACTACACGGCTACACCCCTTTAGGCGTTAATACCTACTTGGCTACTTCCCCTTTCAAAATTACAATAAAACCCTTACCCAAAGCCCTTTAATTATACATGCAGTTACCATCAACTAACCACGGTAAACCCACAGCCCAATACCCCACTAACCAAGCAGTTACCTCCAGTTACCAGCCACTAACCACGGTAAATGCAAATAACCGCTCATTCCTCCCATATATATATATATATATAAAAAATAATCAAAAGCTTCAATTCAAGAAATTTCCTGAAATTCTCTCTCATCAAACCCAAACACTCGCATGAAAATCACTTCAAATTTAGTTCAAATTGCATCAAAACTTCTAAAAATGTCTGACATTCGAGATGAAGTTCGTGAATCGCAACAAAATTCCGAAAAAGAAGAGTAATTAGTTCATTTTACTAAGAATTTCATAAGCATTTTCGAAAAAAATAACAAAACAGTCAACAGACCAAAAGACATCAATACAAAAAAACGTGATGATGAAATAGAAAACATAGTGTCTCCTTTCCATTACCTTTGCTTTAACTTCTTTTAGGTGGGAAAGGAATTCAAGGTGTATACACATTCAAAAAAAAAAAAAAAAGCAGCAATATAGAACAAAGAATAGTATGAAAATGCCAATGTATAAACAAACACAATGTGCACACGAATTAAGTTAAAGCAATGATTACAAAGAGGATAATAAATCAACCTTCTTCTATAAATACCGACAACCCGAAACCTTAACAATCTGCCTACAAACCGCGGCGGCGGCTCGTTCGGAGTAATGCCCCTGATCAATAAAAAAAAAATGAATTTCAGTTCAAATTAACTGAAATTGGGGTGAAAAGAAGGAGAATAAAATCTGGGTAATTGAAACCCAGAAAATATGAGATTTTTGATAATTTGATCATTCAAAAAAAGGGAAATTCCTAGAAGAAAAATTAAAACTTTTGAGATGGGAGTTGAAAAGAACGAACGTTTTTATGGTTTTATGGAAGAGTTGTTGACTCACCAGCTGAATTACAGTCGTCACTGCTGTTCTTGTCCTCTCACATAAAAAGAAATTTAAGATTTTTAAAACCGCAATTTTTGGTAAGAGTATTTAAAAACGTGTTGAAGGAAATTTCAAAATTGACATGAACTTCTAATATCCAATCGACTATGAAATTACTAGAGGATAGAATGATTTAAATCGTTATGACTTAGGGCTTGTTCACATTTACTGAACTGAGGTGAACTAAACTGAACTGAATTTATTGGAACTGAACTGAATTGAGCTGAAATGAATATTTTATGAGAGAGGGAAATTAAGAGCTGAATTGAACTAAACTGATTGGAGCTGAACTGAACTGATTGGAGCTGAACTGAATTGAACTAAACTGATTGGAGATGAATTGAACTGGTTGGAGCTGAACTAAATTGAACTTATCTGAAATTAAGTAAATGTGAACAGACCCTTAAACTCAAAACCAAATGAGAGTTCGACATAGAGCCTTAGCCCCTAGGCCCATAGTGGCAGCTAGTAGCCACATAAAATTTTAATATCACTCTCTCCATCCCATAATTATAGGGAAATATACTATTTTAAGGGTCTGTTTACTTTAGCTTAATTTCAATTCAGTTCAATTTCAATTAGTTTAGCTCCTAATTTCCTTCTCTCATTAAATATTCAGTTCAACTCCAATCAGTTCTGTTTAGTTCAGCGCCAATTAGTTCAGTTCAGTTCAGTAAATGTGAACAGACCCTTAGTGTCTCAAAATGTTCATCCTATTACTACAAATAGCACTCTATCATTACTTACATTTTAGCTTTTTCATACAAATTATACACATACTTAAAAAAATCATTACTTATTTTTTCTCTTTTATACAAAATACACACATACCTAAAAAAAACATTACTTACTTTTTAATTTTTCCATACAATATTTTCTACTTTTTATCATGGGTAATGTTATATGTAGCCCTAAGGGCTATATATAAGCATTAAATACACACTTGGAAATTGTATAAAATTAGGAATTCATGACAAAAACACGCGCAAATCAGTGTAATTAGTGTTTATATTTTTATAATTTCCTAATTTCTTACGATTTTCTAATGTAAATTTAATGCTTATATATAGCCCTAAGGGCTATGTATAGCATTTTCCTTATTTTAATGCTATGTATAGCATTTTCCTTAGTCATGGAAAAACAAAATTCCCCATGGGAAAGTTAAATTTGCACAAATATTGTTGCAAATTGGAGGGAATTTTAGTAAAAAAAAAAATAATAGTATTAACTAGGTTATGTCCCGTGTCATGCACGATACGTTATTTTAATTACTTTTGACAAATTAATTTATTTGCATAAAGAATAAAAATTGTTTAATGCCTTGAACAAAATTGAAGTAACATCTACTCAAAAAATAAAAAAATAAAAAATAAAAATTGAAGTAACATGGAATATTTGATCAAGATCATATTCTTATAAAATATTCCTCCAACAATACATCTTCTTGAAAAAGATTATATATTTCCTTATAATTCCATAATTAATGAGTATCAACACAAAAAAAATTAAAAAACCATTGGCAAAAAGATGTAAAAAATGATTAGGTATCTAATTGAATTGTTTGGCTGAAATAATTGTTCAAGGAGCTAAAATATATTTTTTAATAATAAAATAGAAGGTAATTTAATGATATATTGAATGGAAAATTTAGGATTTTCAAATCGAGATGACACTTTGAATAACATCTCAATTTAATTTTATTTCAATTCGGCACCATAAAAATTACTTCATACTCGTATTTTAGTAGTGCTAGCTTAGCGAAACGAATAAATTTACTTTATTGTTTTAAATTTTCACCGCCTTATCATGTAAGATATTAGAACTGGGTTGTCAAATAGTCATACTCCCTCCGTATTTTAATAAGTGTTACACTTCCTTTTTTTTTAAGCAAAAAACTACATTAAAATATTATATTTCTCTCCTCTCATGTTCTCCACCCAAACCCACTATTACTTTTTTATTATATCTTTTTTATCACATTCATTACTTTTCAATAAACTATTAACCCCATTATCTTTCTTTTATAATTTTTTAATACTCCAACTACCCCACTTACCTCTTATTTTATTTAAGTCAATTAATTTGCCTAAAACTATGTGTCGATCAAACTGTAACACTTAAAAAAATACGGAGGGAGTAGTATTTCATACAAAACAATAACATATTTAATCATATCAGCTAGATCATATTAAAGTTTTCACAAAGTTATTATCAACTTTTACGTGAATTAGGGTGACTAATAAACATATATACATTACACATGTTGTAAATTAAACCATTTGCTATCTTTTTTTTTGTAGCCCCATTTTCCTTTGGCAAGTTTAATTGAACTTCTTGATGTAGAATCGAATCTTGTAGTCTATAAATTATGCTCTCTTATGCTTTAAATTTTTAACCTTCTTTTTCCTTTTCTTATACGTCGTTCTCTCTCCGCCATTCTACATTTTTTGCTCGAAAAATTCGAGAAATTTTGCTCGGAAATTTCGAGAAAAAGAAAAAAAAATGTATCAAATTGACGACGATGATGATAGAAGATTTCATCTCCCTCCACCTCTTTCAAACCAACCCAATAACAATGAGACTGATTCATCCCAATTTGGCATTATTTCATCAAATCATAATAAATTCTTACCAAATCTCCACTCTTATCTTCCACTTCATGACCTAACAACATTAAACCCAACTCTCAATATTGATTTACCATCATCATCTAGCCCTAATAATAGCATCATCAACACTTTATGTTCAGATGATCAAACAACCAAGGAGCAAAGTGAGGAACAAGATATTAGAAGGCTAAAGAGGATGATATCGAATAGGGAATCAGCAAGAAGGTCTAGGCTTCGCAAACGCAAGCAACTCGAAAACAAGTCCCATTATTAGAAAGCTACAAAAATCATGAATTATAGATGATAACATGCATGAAATCCAACAATGTTTATTAATCTTTGCCTTTGGGGTAAAAAGTGACTAGAGTGTTCTCCTAGCTAGGTCAAGCTAAGTAGAGGTAGAAATTAATTAGTAGAATTTTCCTCCGTTTTTAAATAATCGCTTGTTAATGTATTGCTTTGATCAATAATGTATTTAAATAAAAAAACACAGGTTGATGTATTGAAAATAACTTATTTCATTATAATTTAGGAAAAATGCATTTTAATAATCTCAATTATGGACGATTACTTCTAACAATCCCAACCTACAGTTTATTTTTTAACAATCCCAACTATGGGGCCAGTTTTCCTCCAACAGTCCCAATTACCGGTGACCTGCTAAACAAGTTTTTTTCTTTTTTACTTTTTTTTAATCGCCACATGTCAACACGTGAATAGTCAGAAATTAAAATTTAAAAAAACATTTAAAACAAAATAACTAAAAATTAAAAAAAAAAAAAATAACCAAAGTTTCGGCCACCCTTAATTTCCCCACCCCCTAGCCTCGCCAGAACTCTATCCCCATCCCTTAACCTCGCTAGAAATTGTTCGGCCAACACTCCTTCACAACTGAAATCAACAGCCGACCTCTACTACCTATCTCTGACCCCCATAACCACCCAGCCAGCCCTCCTCGACCCCCCAAAACTACCTTGAAAATCCCCTTAACCTCATTGAGTCCATGAAGAGATTAGATCGAAATTGGGGTCTGATTGAAGGTTTTTGCGAGGTGATGAGAAGAGTAGCTATAATAGGGCAAGATGGTGGCTTGCGGCTGGAGTTGCAAGCTGAGTAGCGGTTGTTGTTGCTCTGTTGTTGCTGTGATGAAAAGTCGGTGGATCGGAGATGGCTGGTTGCGGGAATTCGTATGGCGAGGTTGCGGGAATTCGTGGCGAAAGTTGTGAGAATTCGTGGGGAGAGGTGGAGGTGGCTGGTTGTATGAATCGGTGGCTGGGGTTGCACGAATCGGTGGCTGGAGTTGTCAGAAATGGTGGCTGGAGTTGCGCGAACTGGTGGCGAGAGGTGGAGATGGCTAGTGCCTGGTGGTGTGAATTGGTGGCGTGAGGGAGGAGGAATGCTGGTGTTGTTTGGTGGCGAGAAGTGTGTGTGGTGAGCAGGGAGGAGCTAGGCAGTGGACTGCAAAGGTGGTGAACGGTGGAGCAAGTGACTGGTAGGGGGTGAGGAGAGGGTGGCTGAATTTTTTTTTTTATATGGTTTTTTTTTTCAATATTTTGGACCAATAACGTGTTGACACGTGTCATGGTCACCTGTTATAATAGGTTATACCGGTTGGGACTGTTGGAGGAAAACTGACCCCATAGTTGGGATTGTTAAAAAATTAACTGTAGTTGGGATTGTTAGAAGTAAATCGCCCATAATTGAGATTATTAAAGTGTATTTTTCCTATAATTTATTCATTTTAGGTTGGATCAAATCTGGGTATAATAATATAGTAATATTTATGGGAATACATTTATGAATTGTGTTTGCTCATTTGTTACACTAGGTTAAATTTTTGTGTTCGGTTGATTACGGTTCAGGTCATAATTGGATTATCAATATTTGGGTCTAGATTGAGTACTTTGATTTAGGTGATCTTGGATTGGTTACTTTTGCAATTATAATTATATATGTATACATGATACCATTTACTCAGGTACATGAGCTACCTCTCGAAAAGATATAAGTATCCATGTTAAATTGTCACATTGTCTCAACCAATGGTAAGAAAGGATACAACACAATCCAAGTATCCAACTAAAAAACTTATTTGTAATAGTTGGACAAAGAGGTGGAAATGGTTCACTAGGACAAATCAGTTTAATTAAGCTTTAAGCTTTGATCATTTGGTGATGAATCATTTGTTTCAAATTCATTTCAATCTTGCATTGTCAATTCAAGACAAGTCTATTGCCAATAATTTTAGTCTTGTTATCTTTGCACTGATGCATATTCAGGTCAAATTCAAGTAACTAAATTTTGGGAATCTTTGAGG